ATTTTTATTTTTAAATAATATGTTTTGTTTTTGAAGGAATGAGCATGTCTTAAACTATTTTACAATAATTTAAAAATTACTGGCGTGGCTTGTAATTATTGTACAATTGACTATATTATAACCAATTTAATATTTTAATATTTTATGAGTTATAATAAATTTAACTATGATAAGTACAAAAAAAGGTTAAGAACCTACATAAAATATAACTAGAACTAGGTACCTATTTTATATTTAGAATACCAATTTTTTTTATTTTAAATTTTTATTGTGGCTATTTTATCCCTTAATTGCTTCTTTTCAATTACCAATATTATTTATTATTTATTAATATCTGGGTACTAGTTACTTACTATTAGTAGCTGCATCACAGAATAGATTAAATCTATTCTGTGGTTGCATCATTAGTTTAAAAAMAGAAATATGTAAACAAATTATAATTTGTATCCACGAATTTTAATTAACAATTAAAAAATTTCAATATATTTCTGGAAACATATTTTCTAACATACAATTTTCGAGTAAAATATTTTATGCAAACCTTTTTTTGGATCATACCGTTCTGTAAAATTRAGTTTTATTTTATTCCATTCTGGAATTATACATCCAGCGGAATTTCTGCAATATTATTWTCTGGATTTTTACGTTCTACTGATATACATTCTTATCAGTTTAAATTCTATGCTATTTACTTTCTTTCATTTTATTTTCTGTTAAAATATTATCTGGGCGTTTTATATTTTGGCTGCTTTCAATTCTCTAATATTATTTTCTGTAATTAAACATTGGACTAATCTACTTTCCGGCGGTTTTTTTTCGGTAACATTATATGGGTCCGAAAATAGGAGAACTATAGTACGCAATTTGTTATATTYGGCGGTTGTCACAAATTAKTCATTACTAATTACTAATCTTGTGAATTTAGATGAAGCAGATAATGCTTATAAGTTATAGTCGTTGAAAAGACGACATATTATTTTTTTTGACCCACATACTCCTAGTTAAGGTGATCGCGACCCCCAAGTTGAGAAACGCTTGTCTATATCGTACACATCTTTCATCAGATTTAAAATATCTCATTTCTATAAAAATCCGTTCCCTAATTA